CTAATGCAAAGTTCTTTTAATCTTTAATTTTACACTTGTATTATAAGGAAAATGCAAGTACTACACAATTTATCTCATAGGCTACTGTGTTTAACAAATCCATTTGTTCATTTCTACAGGTGAGAAGAAAGATGATGGAGACACAGGTGAGGACAGGACAGGTGAACCAACAGGTGAACATCCACCTGCCACAGGTGCAACAACAGAGGAGGATGCTGGAGTACTCAGTACCGAGAGCGAGCTCAGTGCCAGCGAAGAAGACATTCTCGGAGAAGAGGAAATCTCAACAAGCGAAATGGAAACAGAAAATGACATCTTTGAGGAGCTGATCCAAGATAACATGCAGAGGATGGAAGAGCTGCTGCATCACAAGGAGAATCTTGCTGCAGAAAAAGAGCAACTGCAGCAGCAAGCTGCGCTGTATTCACTCGCTGTCAAGGTATTATATGATGCCCCTTGTTTATCATTACTTAGTATAAATCCTATATATATATAACATCTGTGTCCATAATATCACCAGGGTCCATAATATCACCACCTTGAGAAAAAGTGTGCTTAAAGATATTTTTACTGCAACATACCCTAGGTATGTACATTTGAGGTGTGCAGGAGTGCATACCAAAAGTATGTTGCAGTAAAAATATCTTAAAGCACACTATTTCTCAAGGTGGCGATATTGTGGACCCTGGTGATATTATGGACACAGATGTTAATAGAAATATTGTTAAAGATTTTGATAATTTGTAGTACACGAACGTGCATCTTTTATCCAACGCATTGTACTAGTTTTATTATACCTTGTACACTTCGACTGTACATAAATTGTAGTTGTAATTCATAACTTTTAACCTTTAGTAATAATTGTTTAAGTATATGATAATGTATGTAATTTACTATCACCATAATTCAGTCTTAGAACAGTGACATGTGACGGAAATTAGAAATAAACCATTCTTCTTCTTATTATTATTATAAGGTTTCCGAGAACCGTGGAGCAAAGAGGAGACTACAGAGGGTGACTCGCAGCAACACTCAGGCTCTCTTTGATGATGAAGAGGAGGAAGATGAAGAGGAGGATGGTACGGATGATGCAGAGAGATCAGGGATGGGGGAACTAGAAGGACGAGTGATGGAGGGTAATACTGCTACAGATGCTAGCAGTGATTTGGAGTGGAGCAGGCAGCAAGGGATCGAGCAGTTAGAGATCGCTCGGAAACTGTCACCACGAGAGACGCCAGCATCCACTGGTCCAGCGCTGGAAGAGGAAAGTCAGGATGAGCTGGAGAAGGTGGGAAGCTGGAACATGGAGGCGATTGTGGCTGAATTGATGCAGGATTACTACCTGTTAGAAGCAGAGTGGGACACAGAAGCGTCCGAAACGGAAGCGTCAGAAGCCGCAGGACCTTCAGCTTCATCATCATCCACACAGGCAGAAACTCCTGCAGTGCCAACTGCACCTGCCAGGGGGCATCACGACGGCTTCCCATCACCACCTGACATGAGTGTGATGCAGGAACAGGGAGGATGGTCAGCTGATGAAGATGTCACAACAAAAGAACAGCAAGAGCAGTACAGTCAGCAGAGAATTGACCAATCAGAACAGCCGGAGGCTGGCGGAGCTGATATTCCATGGGGAGGGGAGGAGGAACTCCCCCCGCCTCCCTTCTTCGACTTTTCAGAGGAAGGCGCGATGGAAGATTACCACAGATACTATGAACACGACAAGTACGGAGGCGAAACGGCAACAGGAGCTTCCAGAGACTTCCCTGAATATGATGGACAGAAGGTGGAAGGCAGAAGAAAAGGAGAAGGAAGAAGGAAGGAAGGAGAAGAAGCGAAAGAGGACGAGCTAGCCAGGCTGATCAGAATGGCTAGCACTGAGCTATACGGTGGAGCTGACAGTCCAAGAATTATGTACAAACATCGCGCAGCAAGTGACAGCTTACCAGCTACCGACACAAGCTCTATCGCCAGCTCCAGCCGTACCGCAAGCGCAAGCGATCTCGCTGAACTTCTCCAAGAAGCCGCCAGCGAAGACTTGGAGTTCCTTGAGAAGTATTCCAAGGAGGGCGGGCGAAAGATCCGCAAGCGTAAAGTCCGCGTCGAATCCGACTTTCGCTCCCACCTCGAGAAAATCCTCCGCAAGCGTCGCGACGAAATGTCAGAAAAGGAGTCGTCTTCTTCGAATCCGGAGCTGGTGAAGATGTTTCGGTCGGAATCGATGGAAAGTTTCTTATCGAAGGAACCGGAGGTGAAGAAGAAGATCGGAGGATCGGTACCTTCAAGTCCGGTACCGTCTTCACCTGCTCCGTCCTCTCCAGTACCAGGGATGAGAAGGCGTGAGGATGATCCTCTGGTCCAGCTGCAGCAACTGTTCACAGGAAGGCCGCCTACAGGGAGATCAGAAAGGCCCAAGCAGCTTCTGCTTATCAGGAGGAAGAAGGATATGTAACTGCAGAAATTCCTGCAGGGATCTTAAGCTCTTCAGCTGCAGCAAAAATGAATGCGGCAATAATGATTACATGATCGTGTAATAAGTGTAGGTTTTGGAAGTTGTGCAACGAGAGAAAGAAATGAAGAAGACGTTTTACATTTACCTTCGACAGGTATTTAACTATTGTGCAAGGAAAGGAATTATAGATGGACAGGTTTTGCTATGGAAAACTTGCTGCTCACTGTAGACACAGTGATGCTTGTAACATAACAGCAGCAACATTACAAAGAAACACGGGCAGGGCAGAAAGGCCCAAGCAGCTTCTGCTTATCAGGAGGAAGAAGGATATGTAGCTGCAGAGGTTCTGAACATGAGCAAGAAAGTTGCTGCAGCAGAAAGCTGATGTTTTGTAACTGCAGAGGTTGATCTGCTTGTGTTATATGGCCTCAGCAAGTTTATTTATTTATTTATTTATTCAAGTTTATGGAGAAGAGTTGATTTGCTGCAGCTAACTGCAGCAATAGTGATTGTATGAGCAGAAAGAAAGTAAGAACTTCAAGATGTTAGACATGTTAGACTGTATTCAGCAGAGTGTTATTTAAATGTAGCTTCATCAGATCTGCAAAGAAACTAAGATTACTGAGCAGCAGTTTTACAAAGGAAAAGCAACTGATGCTTGTAAAATAGCAGCACAGCAGATTTGTTAAGAAACTAATATTGATTTTGATTAGAGAGGACAACTGCTAGTAACAGTCTTCTGCTGGGACGGAACTTAGTATATATCAAAAGTTTTCTTGTGGAAAGAACAGTATAAGCGTTTGTAAACAACATTTTGGAAAGTGCTGTAGAGGCATATTCATAGCAACTCAAATGTTAAAGCAGCTGATTTTGTGAAACTAATATCTTTTCTTTCAAGCATTGTATGACTACATGACCCTTATATTGGTCACAAAAAAATGCATCTTGTATGTTAAGGCCACACCAATTTAATTTGTTGGTTCTCGGATTCGCCTCTTCATTTTTTCCTGATTTGCAAAAAAAAAAAAATTCAGAATCAACTGCAAAATGCTCATATTTTGCCCTGAACAGTTGAAAACAGTCCTTTTCTTCCTAGTCGTTACAGTTATTCCATCTTTCAATGCAGTGGTATCATTAGAAGTTCAAAATTCATCGTTTAAATTTTGAACCAGCCTTTTGTGTTGATTTCATACCTCCTATCGTAGCATTTGGGGCTATATTAGGATGCCTAGATATGTTTTTATTTTTTATTTTTTTCGCCCTGTCGCTTCATATTTTTCCTGAAAAAATCCGAGAACCAACAAATTAAATTGGTGTGGCCTAAGTATTGTCATTGTGAAAATTTCATCAGTTAGACTTTCAGTCTTCCACTATGTTGCATAAAATGTTTTGTTTAATACCTTTGCTATCATATTCATACATACATGCATGGTTGTGTGCTCAACATATTAATCTATTTGTACTTAGTACGTAGCAAGTCACTTGATGTTAATACAATGAAATTGTAGAGTATTTGTATCTTTGGAACAAAAATATAACTAAGAAAAGTTGTTGCTTTGTGCTTTTTTTAGCGATGATAGAGTAACCTTAAGTAAAACTAAAAGGCATGTGACAACTTTCATTTTGTTCAGATGAAATAACCAAATACTGGTTACTTTGAATAATGGAAAGGTTGTTTTTCCAAATTTTGAGGCCACCCTGCTAAAAATTGTACATTTTTCCATTGTTTCTGTTTGAATGGAGATGTTCCATAATATTATCATGAAAAAAAGCATGCCTCCTTCCAGGCATTTTTATATACGTCATACGGCATCTTCATTTTCTAGAAGTAGTACATTTTTATTTCCATTTTTCAGTTACCAGCAAACTTACAGTCTCAGCCACATACACACATATACAATTTTGTACATACATTACATTTCACAAAAAAAAAAAAACTAAAGCTATGAGTAAGTCTCTGACCCTTTTGGAGAGATTTAACAAATATCACAGCCACCTGTCAGCTTTTCTATAAGGTACATGTGTCATTTGTTGTTGTGATTGTTGTTTTGGCATCACCCATTTTACTAACTGTGTGAACTACATTGTACATGTATGTTCTGCTTGATCTTTTGGAAGTGATTGAAGTTGTGACTGTTTTGGTTGATAGATTGCATTCTGATATGAGAATGTTGTTATGTAAAAGTTGCACATTGTCAGTACATGGATTTTAGATTTTATTTTCAGTACTGTTGCTATCAAGCAGAATTATGGTGCTTTGTCTTACTATGGCATCATTAATGTTCAATCTTGCAACAGAAGAAAAATAGTGATATGTTTTGACATGCAAAAGTCTTGCAAACCTGTTGACAACTTTAAAAGACTAAAATGCACATTATAAACCTAGAAGTAGGCTTTACCATATGCTTATTCTGCATATTGTACAATGTACTGCCCTTTGATATGCTTGTGATGGCATTAGCATTGGCATGTAGTGTGTTCATGAAGTGTTGACCTAACCCTTGACTTTTGACCTAACCTATGACCTGACCCCTGCCCTTTGCCCCAGGTGATGGTGACCAACGTGACCTCCCTGCTGAAGACAGTGAAGACAGTTGAAGACGAGGCAGCGAGGGGGACCAGGGCACTGGAGGCTACCATCGAGGCCATCAAGCAGGAGATGAGGGTACTGCAGCGGTTCTGTCTTTCTTTCATTCAATCTTCATCCTACCTTCATTAGTTTGTATCCAACCATTCCAACAATTGAGGCCATCAAGCAGGAGATTATGTTACTGCAACAGTTCTGTTAGGCCTAGAAAAAATGTTTTGTTTCCTGTTTCCCCAACCGAACCTATAGAAAAAACTGCCGACCCTAGCCTCTTTTGTGTGGACCCGTGCAAGAGACATAAATATTTCAAGCTGACCAACCATTTCTATATGTCCATGATTTGACTCCTGAATGATGAAATGTTGTATAATCGGTTTTCCAAAATTGACATTGAAAAAATAGTGTCCTCACGCAAGTTTTACTCTCTTAAAAAGCATTTTTGGCATTTTATGTACATTGAGTCTTTTTTGCCAAAATTGATGCCAAGTCCTATAATCCTATTTAACGGTATGCCTTTTTGTCACAATCATGTTTAAACCTCCCCCCCCCCACGATCCTGAGCTCCATGGACCCCCCTGAGAAGCGTCTCCCCCTGAGGACCTGATCCGCAGCACCAAGCCCGTCACCCTCCTCACCGCCAAGGCCGTTGCCGCGGGAACCAGCTGTCGTCAGGACGACATCATCGCAGTCGCCAACATGTCCAGGAAGTCTGTGGGAGATCTCATCGTCACGTGCAAGGTACCCTGTACACCCCTTTTGTTAAATGGTCATGTATAGTTTGTCAACCCCAAATCTTAATGATTTAAATGCTATATGTAATCTACTACTTTTATGATACAAAGAGACATTCAAGATTTTAGCTACTTATATTGTTAACGCTTTTAACCACACAATTCAGCCTTAATGGCTGTGAAGTGATAGTGTTGTGTATTTACAGTATTATTGTGCTGTCATACTAAAGTAGTGTGCTGTTCGAAATAAACCAATGTTATAAGTCCATCTCATGTGCACCCTTTTTGCCAAAGGATAAATCCACACCAACATCGTTTGATGATAATGGCTTTTATCATAAATTAGGTGTTGATTAAAGTTTGTTTTCTGATAGAACATGTTAGAGTTTTATTCCATTGCTGTATCTCATACAGTTGTTCTTTTATAAAATTCCTGATGTTGACTAACACCCTCCTCCCCTCCCCAGGCCTCAGCATTTGGAGCAGAGTCACGTGAGACAACAGAGAGAGCAATGGAAGTGGGCAGGAACACGGTCGCCATGTATGTGGAGCTACTGGTACATGTACTGTCGGTAAGTAACACTTCAGTAATGTACATAGAAACAATAGATAGCTGTAGAAACTAGTACATGGAACTACTGGTACATGTACTGTCGGTACGTCACACTTCAGTTATGTACATTAGAAACATTAGATAGCTCTACAGACTAGTACTTGGGTGTGACTATGGAAGTGGGCAGGAACACTGTCGCCATGTATGTGGAACTACTGGTCCATGTACTGTCGGTACGTCTGAAATTCCTACGGTGTTCATTCACTATTCTAGTAAAGATTTTGGAAGAGCCTACTAGAAGTAAGAACAGAAGGGCAGGGAGGAAAACTTGTGTCTGACTATGGAAGTTGGAAGAAACACTGTGTCCATGTGCTGTTGGTATGTTTGAAATCTATCTCTAGCTATTAACTAAAATAGGCACTTGGAAGTAAAAAGAGGTCTTGCTGAAAACAAAGGGCTGGGAGGAAAACTTGGCCCTTGTACAGACTTTCGCCTCAGAGTCTGTTTTCATAAGTTCAGCTCTATGTTTCTGATTTTTAAGCAAAGGAGAAAAAAGTATTGATTGACTATTTGATTGATTTTTGATATTTAGATTGATTATTGATGATAGATCAATGATTGGTGATTGATTATTTCTTGTTGGCTTCCTACAGATCCTACAGAAGCCGACCCACGAGGGGAAACAGAAGCTGGCACATTTCTCCAAACGTGTGGCGACGGCAGTGGCAGAACTGGTGCAGACGGCTGAGGCCATCAAAGGTACGTCTGTTTGTTTGTTTGTTTGTTTGTTTTATGCCAAACACAAGGAATAAACAAAGACATAATCAAAACTGTAAAGACTTGAAATACACAATAATGTAAGTGCATTGAAAATACATTCCAAACAAGATTGTAAGATTGTGTATTTTTATTTTGTCGATTTTGTCTTTGTTTAGTTCTTGCGTAAAAATTCTAAGTCTAAGTACTAAAAGATAAACTTAACATGTTCTCAACTAAAAACAGAAATTCTACCATTCAATGAATGCACTTCACATTCAATGAATGCATCTCACATTCAATGAATGTATCTCACATTCAATGAATGTATTTCACATTCAATGAATGTATTCTGCATTTACTGAATGTGCATTCAATAAATGCAGAATATATTCCACATTCAATGAATGTATTCTGCATTCATTGAATGCATATCAGTGAAATTGTATAAATGCATCTAGAAGTAAAAATGTACCATACTAGTGGATGTCAGAGTAATGATGGTGCCTGTGACTCATTTTTAATGATGATTAGTAATGATTGTGTGTGACATCATTATTTTATTATTTCATTTAATGAAAACAACAAACAAACTTGATACACATATTAACCAAGCCTGTATTTACCCCCATTTGAGTGTAGGCCAATGGCTGTCACAAGATCATAGACATTATCATCCAGAAAGTGGGAGTAGCCATAATTATAACATTCAAGCAGCAATTTGATTTCGAAAACAATTTAACTCTGGACTCAGCAAATAAGTCCAAAATGACCCGAATAAGTTTTATTGAGGACATGACAGAGAGTGACAAATACATGTGTATGCAGATTTTGTTTAACTAGTCCCTAGGGACTAGTCCAATTCTAAATGATTATATAATAATTATCCATAAACATTACAATTATGTGTCAATCAAACATGAGAATTTTCCATTATGTAATGTGAATAATTTTTCACCTCTTCAAGCCGACCACCTAACCATATATATTATAGCGACTGCATTTTCTCGGTCCTGAAAACTTTTCCCATTGACACAAGCATAAAGTGACCTGCAGGAGTTGTACAACCCACAAACAGGCAAGAGATTTTTATGGTTGTCTCTTACATGTGAGTTCCATCCGTCATTAAGACTATGACAGTACCACAGTTCCTTTTGTAAAGCTGTAATTGCCATAAATCATAACACGGTTGAAAGCAAAAGTCTTCAATCATAACTTTGACTTTATTCCAATTTCCAACTTGTATGGCAGTCTTGAACCCAGTCTTGTGCAGTTAGAAACCCAGTAGGAACAATAGTTGTCTACATCATGTATGTTATTACGCACATAAATTCCTTCAGCGAAGAGCTGTGTGTGTTAGTGTTCAAAAACTATACTTTACATGAAAGCTACTGATAATGAAAAATTAATTTATAGTCGTACTACATAGTAGTTCATTTTGTTCTTCCTCTAGTAGGCTTTACACAGTTAAAGACCAGGTCCTGATAAATTTCCCCCCTATTTCTTGTACTACATTTGTACATGTATCACCTAAGGCTTATAAAGACTTTGCATCATTCTCTATAATTCCCTTATTATTATACATGTAAGTTGTGCTTAAGCTTTCTTCCCTCACAAAAAAGTACCTCCACTATTCTAGTTGGACTGCAAGTCTTGCTACTGCTAACACCAGAAGCTGTTTCATGCTGCTGTATCTGCTGCAAGTATTTACTTAGGGATTAACTTGTAACAAGGCATGACAGATTGATTTGTATCAGAGGCTATCATGTGCCCTCAGTTATCCCCTGGCTGACAGAACTTTGAAGAACACCCTGGGGGTTGTCAATGAAGATTGTGATTTGTAGAGTGACTCAAAAGTCAACAATTCTGCTGAACAATAAATGCTAATACTGTAGTGCGAACTTTCCCTTAGCCCAAGGCCACGTCCCCTCAGCCAATAAGAGCTGTTAATATCCACATAGTGTGGGGCTATTTTATGCAACTGAGGGGAAAACTGTTAGGCTGTCAGCCTAAACTGTGGGGATATCAACCAAAAAGTGTAGGGATGTAGGCATGTGACCTGTCCTGACCAATCCTCACCGATCTTGTAATCCTCCTTCTGGGACTAGACTCATGTCATGTGATAACTGACCAATCCCACTCTGATTTCTAATTGCCCAGAGGAATCGCCCCAGACACATGTCTGCTCATTTTTGTGCAGTCTTGACAGGCATGGCAAGATGAATTAACCTTGTGGCCACCAGAGCCTGCTGGGTCAGTTCTCTGGGTTAGGGTAAAGAAGAACAACTATACACTGAAAAAATGAATAGCTATTTCATTTCATATTATAAGACGTGGAAAAGCTTTGGGGAAGTGACTCATGGGCTAAAAAAGTTGTGGCTTTGGTAGGGATTTCTACTCTAAAAATCTAGCCAAAAAATCCCCTCAGTGGGAAACCTTGCCCGCCTATGAGGGTAACTCTTACATATCTCACATCTTGTGCTAAGTGCACAGCTATCATGAACTATTTCCAGAAACTGTGTATTATTCCCTTTGAAAGAAACTTCAGAAGGTGCTGTGACATGCTTTTATCATCATTTCTTGGGTAGCAATAGGTGTATGCCAAAACATTGGTCAGGTGTGGAGGTTGCATTTTCACCGACCCTTCCTTCCAAACCTTTCAATTCATGTCATATCATGGAGTTCATTTAGTGTTAGTCTGGTATGCATACATGCACCTATTATAT